CTGGGTCTGGGGAGCTTCTTGACTATTGTGTGTATTCTACATAATTTACCTATTTGCCCATCTCTTATACAATGATCATACTGTTTCAATTAATGTAACTTTAAAGTAATTCTCAATATGTTGTATAACATTTTCTCCCATTTTATTATTCTTTATGTGGGATCTGGCTCTTCTTGGCTCTTTGCATGTTTATATTAATTTTAGAAGGAATTTATTGAGTTTTACAAAAAGAAAATAAGACTTGTTGAGATTTTCATTCAAGTTGAACTGAGTCACAGATCAGTCTTAGATTTAATTTATATTTTCAAATATTGTGTTTTTCAATCTATATACATAGTATATTCTGGCATTTAATTAGATACTTTCAGAGTTTCTTGGTAATTGTCCATATTTTTCCTTTTATATTATAATCATTAGTGCATATTAACTGTACAAATAATGGGTTTCACTGTGGGATTTCTGTACATGTATATAATGTGCTTCCATTGTATCCCCTTGTTAACTTCTCTTAATTCCTCTCTCCTTATCTCCTCTTTTGTGATTTTTTTCTAGATTTCCACAAATACCTCATATTTTTTCACAGAAAATTCCTGTTATACATATTTCTAGGTACTTATTGTTTTCCAGGTATTATTCTGCATCTTGGTTTCACTTCCATGATGGTATCTCACCTGACTAATCAAGCCCTGGCTTGGCCCGGATGCCTTAGGATAATTACCTAAACAGTGGAGCCCCTGCTTCCATCTTTGCTGTTGTCCACCATGTTGTCATAGAGAACATGTTTGACAGGCTCACTTTTATTTATTTATTTAGTTTGTGTTTAGTGAGTGATGGTGCTAGAGGTCGAACCCTGGGCTTTGTGCATGTTAGGGAAGTATTCTACCATGGAGCTGTACTTCCATTCCTTTACAGACACACTCTTAACATCGAAGACACCATTTATCCAGGAAGGACTTCATTCAAAGCTTCATTGTGCATTTCAACAGACTTTCCTTCAGTTGTGACATGGAGTAGAGCAAACATGTCTACCACACCGAGTTAGAGAATACTAGTGTCCACTTGGCGTACAAAAACAATACTAATGGCACCAAATATGTAGACATTCTAGAGGGGCTGATAAAAAGGCTTGTCAGTTAGACAAGCTATTGGCAGGATGTAAGCCAGAGATGTGTCAGCTTGATTTCATTTGCATTACTATCTTTGCATAACACTTTCCATCCCTTGAACCAGGACATATCAACACGTAGTTCCTACACACTATTGTCATTCCAACTAGAAATGAGAACAAATGTTATTGCGCTAGAGTTGTAGCCAACTTTCTTACTGTATGGCTGACTTCCCTAATTTTTTCCTTATATTATTCTAGCTTTAGGGTGACTCAGTGGAATTCACTTTGTTAACACCAACAATTAGCTGTTTCACAGTCAATGTGTAAGCTAGAAGGGCATAATCACAGATCTGTTCATTCTCAGAAACATCAGCTTCAAATCCATGGACAGTAGCAGCAACAGTCAGGACAGCAAATCAGCCTACAAGGCACTTATAATCATGTTTATAGTAAAGTTTTTGTGTCCTGAGACATCAGTGATAGTCACCTAATACTTTCTGGCTTCTAGTTTCCACTTGAAGAGGATGTTAATGGTTATACCACATTCATGCTCAGATTTCAGTTTAGCTAAGACCCAAGGATACTTGAAGTAGAACTTTTCCATCTCTGCAGCTTCCTTCTTAAGGTTTTCATGGTTCTCTTGCAGATCACATTACATTTACCAAACAGATCGTCAGTAGTGGGGGATTTGCCTGAATCTATATGTTCAATGACAAAGACATTGACAGGCATCTGTTTCTTCCCCAATTTTAGCTTATGTTTAGCAGTGATTTTCAAGACACCTATGTGGCTGGTGGTAAACTTGTTATGAAAAAATTCTATACAACTTAACCTCTGTCATTGTTGATGTAAACTGTACAAGTTATATTTATCCACATGATTACCCTTTCTTTGCACTCTACTCTTTGCCTCTCACATCTTTTGTCTAGAATCATTATATTACCTCATGTATAACATTTAAAACATTTTTATTGCATCTTTGGTAGGAGTAAAGTTTCTCTATTTCTACTTGTTTGAAAATATATTTATTTCACCTTAATTCTTAAATCATATTTTTGATGGGTATAGAATTCTAGGGAGGCAGCTATTTTATTTCAATGTTTTCTAGATAACATTCCCGCATCTTGTATTTCTATCAATTTTATTTAGCTTTTTACCAAACTGACTCTGAGTTTTGTTGATCTTATCTGGGTTTTTTTGTTTTTATTTAATTTTTTTTCTGGTCTGATCTTTCTTATTTCCTTCCTTCTGCTAACTTTGGCTTTCATGAAGGCCAGACAGTTCCAATTCAGAGCCTAGTTCCTCTGGAAAAGCACTTGGTGATCTGCACCATCTTGGACAGCCTGACTATGCTGACACTCAGGACTCTTTGGTTCATTTTCTTTTGTGACCACCTGTGGCTCTGCAGCCTCTTCCAGTCCAGTCCCTCTAGATACTGCATAACATTTGAATCCAATGTTCTTCCTCAAGAGCAAAGGACACAACCATAATTTGTTCTAAGTGCCTGCTGAAGCTGAATTTCCTGTTATTGATTTTTTCTGATATGGAAGCACTTTGCTACCACTGTGAAGCAAGAGATCAGTCCATTCAGGTAAGTTTTCATTCCAATGATAATGCTTCATTTTGTAAATTTCCATTTACATTGACCAGAACCTTATTAACTAACCCAAGAAGATATACCTGCTAGACAAGGGCTCTGCTTTTTTTCTTTTCTTAACGTCATATAATAGTTTAAACTACTCCCCCTACCACCATTGATAGGCAAGTATATAGGGTCCTTCTTCTGTCTCTTATGGTTTGTGCTCTTTGATGAGCTGAGTGTGGGATGAGCCTTTGATAGTCAGGGGACAGCCTTCAATGGATCTCAAAATGAACCTGCAGCTGTGTGTTGATTATCATGTAAGCCACTGTGTATGGACATGACAAAAGAAAAGGTGTTCACCTTATGGGTCAGCCCCCTGCGTACGACCTTTAGGAGCTAGATGAATTAGATGCCTGTAGTCCCAGCACCTAGGAGGCTGATGCATAAGGATCACTTGAGCCCACAAGTTCAGGGCCAGCCTGGAAAACACAGCAAGACTGTCTAAAAAAACCAGAAAAGACCCCCAAGAAGACCACTACAAAGCCATAGCCAAACAGGGACTAGCATCCACTTACCAGTCACCTGCCTGCTCTCTCCTGTTGTTGCCTGGGCCTCCAGGCTGTGCAAGGAACACATAGTAAGGGACAAAGGCAGTGATCAGGCCAGCATGTCTGTGGGTATTGGGGAACTGTATTCATCTGTGTGAGCCACCATCTGATTATAGTCTACTGGTGCAGTCTGATTTGATTATTTTTTTAGATTTATTGTTACAGGAGCAATGTTTAAGTATTGTTAGAGAACTTGAAAATAAGTAAAGTTTTAAAAATAAAATATCACTTTTACAGTATCTAGAGTAACATTGTATTATATGTCCTCCTCATGCCCCCAACCCGATCATAAAGACCTTTCCATTTCAGAAATACATCTCCACTTTACCTAACTTTCCATTTATAATCAAATTCTGCTTGTTCTTAAAGTTATAGTCAACAAGATCCTCTGATGGATTAGATGTGGTCATGAGGGAAAAAGAGGACTTAAGAATAAACTTCAAAGTTTAGGGTTTTAGTAATTAATGAATGAAGGACTGTTAAAAGAAACATGCTTGATGTTAATGAGATTAATCCAGTGGGAAAGGAGAAATTGATGAGTGAGTATGTAGACATTGGAGTGCAGCACCAGTGAGAACAAATCAGTTGAAACGGAGGATTTTAGTGGTGTTCTTCAGAAGATAAAACACAATGTGGTAGTTACTTTAGCTGCAGTGGTTGGGGGAAATTCTCTGTGTAAAGCTGAGCTCAAAGTGCTAGTGATGAAAGGCCAACTGATGAGGCTTCGCAGCAGAGGAAACAGAATGTAAAGGTATTGAAAGTGGAATGAGTTCAGCATGTTTGAGCAATAGAAGGACAAGCACGATGAGTACAGTGAAGAATTCAGGGTGGGAGCGCATGGAAGAGAAATTAAGTAGAAGAACTGGTCAGCAGTTAGACAATACAAGTCCTAGAGGAAGGGTAGTGCCCTCTCCATTGCATATAGTTAGGCACCCCATCCATATTTGTTGACTGACTATGCTTATACTTGCTTTCCAAATGTGTGTGTGTGTGTGTGTGTGCTTCCTCTCCCCTGCACAACCTCCTTCTGTTCCCCTAAAACTCAAACCACTCCATTTTGTCTTCTGAATTCCCCATGCTTTGGGAAAAAACTCTCCCCACATGTTTAACCTATTTACCACACACTTCTTTCTCATACCTGTCTCAGGGAGCTTTTACAAGAATATGATTTCTTCTGCAGCTCAGAGTTTGCCTAGAAGAGGCTGACTTTCTACACCATTGCTGCTTCTTGACCATGCCTCCTGTTCCCTCTTGAAAACTCTCTCCTTTCCCTGCCACCAGAGTACGAACTGACATCTTGCTCACTCTTCAGCTTCATCTAGACTCTGCCACCTGCTGAAGTGAGAGTCCAGAGATTGCTTTTGAGAATCTATTGCTATTTTAGCACCTGGTAAAGTCCAAAGTCATGGATGGGGAAAAGGAGAAAAGAAGGAAGGAAAAGAAAACACACACTCACACACTCACACACACACACACACACAGAACGGTTCTTGTTTATATTGTTTGATCAATTTTTCATGCCTATGTCTTGTAATTTGAGTGACTATTTTGAAGATAGCAATATGCAATATATTAACTATTGTTAACCTCCTATTACCTTGTTTTGAAATTCTCTATAATTTTTATTGCTTTTTAACCTTTAAAAATTAAAAAATTCCAAAATCACAATAGCATGACAAAGGAATAATCAGTGGAGTCATACCTGTTTCTTAGGATGCTAGGGATCCTACTCATCCCATAGTCCCAGAGCCGCTCCACCGCTGCAATAAAATAGTGTCGTGTTCTCTTTTGAAAGCTACGGGGACCCTGGATTTCATCCTCTCCATAAATCTCAAAATCTTCTCTCTTAGTTTCACTTGAGATGTCATCATCATAGTAAATGTCTTCTTGTTCTGGCTGAAGAGTAGTAGGAGTTATTTCCCTTTGATGACGCTTCAAGGCAAATGGGTTTGGAGAGCACAACTTTCCAGTACTTTCTTGCTTTGCCCAAGTGGCTTCTTCCTGGAGCCAATTTTGCCCATCATTTATTGCTACTATTGTACAATTGCTTTCACCAGGGTTCAGAGAAAAAATGGGGTCCTTCATCTTTAAAACTGTATGTTTTGGTGACTTTTCTTGGAATCTCCAGTTATTTTTTGGTATCTGGATAGCATAATTATCCTCTAAAGCAAGAGGACCCAGGAATTTGGAGTTCATCTTTTCAGAATTTTCTATTGCACCTTTTAGAAAGGGTACTTTTCCAGGTCCATTTGTCTTATTCCATTTTAAAATTTCTGCTGTTTTCTGAAGAAGATTCTCCTCCATGCGATCAAAGTAAACAGGAGACTCATGGATAGTTTCTGTAAGTAAAAGGTCTCTCTGATGAATAAGAACTTTAGGAAGAAATTCAACTTTGCTAAATGTTTCAGGCAAGACTTGTTTCAAGATAACAGTGTTCTCCCGTTTTTTGTACGCAACTGAGTTTGTGGCACTTGTCCCCAGGAAGCCAAACTTGCCTTGATTTCTGATTATCTCCAAGGGTACTATGTTTAAAGAAAGGTTATTTATCTTGGGTACTTGTGAGAAATGACTGTCTTCTTGGGCCATTGAACTTTTAGCCTTAAAGCTATAAATATAGGCTGATGCTAGAAATTGAGAAGAGATGTCTTGAGATGAGAACTGTATGAGATCTGTATGAGATCTAATGAATGGAACTGCTGATATCTTTGCAATGGGTGATACAGAGCTCTTTATCTGAGGGATGCTATGATTCCTCATAGGAGACTTTGATGAAAGAGACTGAGCAATGGCCTTTCCTCCTTTCTCTTTGTAACCTGTCTGTGTCAAATGCTTCATGGTTTTGGATCTTTGTGTCGAAGTATCATCCACAATTAGCCCCCTTTCAACCTCTGTTTCTTCTAGTGGGAATCTGAATTGTTTTGAAGAACGCTTACTGCGTTGGGCCGTAATGTTCTCAGCTGGATTAGGAAATATCACTTTGGTACTTAGATGCTGCTCAGCCATTTGCTTGGTTTGATTTCCCAAGCTTTCTTGGTGTGTTTCCTCTTGTCCTCTTCTTTTTGAGAGTTGATCCATGTGAATCTTTGCCCTATTTGTTGAATCATTTAGCAATTTGGTATCCAAAAGTGTTGGTACATATGCCCCCGCATCTAAACTTATGTTTTGTCTAGTGATCAGTAAGAAAAGTTTCTTCAAGAAATTCTTAGTGTCAGTCACTGGGTATACCTGGGGCAAAGCTACATTCTTTTGGGTTAGTACTTCCTTTTTTTTAATCTTTTCCTGAATTGGTTTTTGTTGATTGTGTGTATCATTTTCTTTTAAGTTAGTCATGTTAATAAGAAATACGCTCCTATTGTTTGGAATAATCTCTTTGGGTTCTGCGTCCTTTGTAAATTCATCCTTGTCTATTACCACTTTATTCTTGTGTGGCAAGAAATTCTGATCTTCTCTAGACTTTCCTGATCCTAAGGATAATAATTTCTTTGGACTAGCCCCTTGCCCAGAGTTCAGGGAATTCTTTCTGCTGGTCCCTTTTTTCCAATCTGCTGGCTCTGGAAAGAATAACATCTTGAAAAATAACTTACCTAAGTTTTCTTCATCTGATGATACACGACCTACTTGTTTTCGAGCAACTATTTCCATACTTTTTGATGAAGTTTTATTTGACATATGATTCAGCCCCAGAGCTGTAGTACTTTTGTCAGCAAGTGCTTCATCATTCACTAATGACAGCTGTTTTTGAAAGATAGTATCTCTTTCTAATATAGTATCTTGCCAGACTGATGTACCATTGTCAACTAATAATGTTGGTCTATCAATGTGAGTTTTTCTATCAATTGTTGAATAATTAGATGTCTTGTTTGTCTTTATCAAAGAGATATTAACTTTCAAAAAAGCATTATCTTTGGCCAGTAAAGCAGGTGGGTGAGTTATTTTCTCTTTTAGTGATAAGTCACTTTCTATTGATAATACATTTTTTCCCAGTGAACTCCCTTGAGTACTCACTAACGATACTTGTAACAACTTGGATTCATTATTTCTTTCACTGAGGCTCAGAGGAACATCTGACCCAATAACTGGAAATGATTTTTTGCCAAATATCCTGGTGCCCAATTGCCAACTAACTGGTATATTTGGGGGTCTTAAGGAAGTTGTCTCTTCAGGACTTGCTGCCAAATTGTCTGATAGAATTGTTGGTGAGACCATTGAATTATCTGGTGAGCTAGAAACTTTTGAATCAAGTTTCTTCAACTCTACTGGTACAGTTGTTTCCCAATTCTTATTCAATTTTAATTGGAGGCTTGGTTCAGGAGTAAATACTGTATTTCCCCTCTGATAGACCTTTGGCCTGAACTGTACCACCTTAGATGGGCCCTCATTATTGTCTATTGCTCCAGATAAATGATCACGAGGAAGAGTCTCATATGTGACTTTTGGAAGATCAGATAAGGATAACCCAAATGGAGTTGGACTCTGTCTCAAGAGCATCGACGAATCATTGGAGAAGATATTGTTTACTTTATTGATTCCTGTTCTCTCTCCAAACTGAAAACCAGTTTTCTCTGTGTCATTTTCTGGAATTGTGATGGCTTTGAATTGCTTTTTCCTGGTGCTAGGGTGCCTTGAATTTTGGGAGAAGCTTCTGGGTTCAATGAGATGGCTTTCACTTAGTAAGTGTGTTGGAATATCTTCATATGTGTCCTCATAATCATCACCGGTGCTCCTGCCACAGCTAGAAACCTTCAGTAAGGCTGTCATGCCTCTGTTCCGAAAGTCTGAGTTGTGGCACCCCAGAACCCATAGACCTGGAGATGAGAAAGAATAAGACTCTGATTACTAGTCACCCAGGTTCTAAGAAAGTTCTCTGTTAGCAGTTCTCTCCCATTTTAGATAAATGAAAAAATACTTGTTAAGATCATTATAACACAGGGAACTGAGTTATATTCACAACATGTGATGCTAAAAGTAGTTTTTGGATTGCTACTGTTGTGTTATGCCTGTTTGTGACCACAAGAAACGGCTGCAAGTAAGAAGTGAAATGATGTTGGGGTCAAAATGGATAATGATGATGACAGTTATTTAATTCAGTAAAGTTTTTTTTTTTTACACAGGCTAGGCTTTATTGCTATATAACATCAGGTTATAGACTCTAGTTGCCTGGATTCAAATCATAGTTCTACCATTTACCAGATATATGACTTTGAATAAGTCATATAGCTCCCTGAGCACTAGTTTTCTAATTTGACAATGACGCTGATAGTATCAACCTCATTATGTAATTCTTTGAAATTACATAACACAGTGTGTTATGATTTGAATGTTGTTTGTTTCCCAAAGGCCCATGTGGTAAAGACTTGGTCCTGATTGCTGCTATTAGGATTGGTGGAAAATATAAGTGGTGAGACCTACTAAGAGGTCCTCAGATCCTTAAAGGTGTACCCTCAGAGAAGACTAGGCAATGCTCATGTGACCTTTTAGTTCTCAAGACAGGTTTGTTATAAAAGGCTGAGTCTGATCTCACCCAGCTGTCTATTTTATGGTTTGATATGTGATCTTTCCCCTGCATGTGTTCTGCCATTCATAATTTGTCATGAGGTCCTAGCCAGACACCACTTAGATTTTAGCATACAAAATTTTGAGCTAAATAAACTTTTTTTATTCATGGATATCTTGCCTTGAGTATTTTGTTACCGTGATGAAAAACTGACTAATACATTGTCATAATTTAGTAAGGTAAGTCAGCACAAGGGGGTAACACAGACCATCATGGTGCTTGTTACATTTAATGTCCACTATGGGTAGGATTGGCTGGATGAAGGAATTCCATGAATCAATAGTAAGCCCTTATATGACAGAAAAGTAGGTGCATAAAGGACAAAACATATATTTACCAAGCTACCCATCATGTACCTTAATTATCTCACCTAATAACCTTTGTAAGTAAGATATTTTTAATTTCATCTGATTTTAACTCAAAGGGAAGCTTTTATGAAAAGCATATCCACAGAGCCATGTGAGATAATGGGGTAATTGCACATTGAATTCTATTCTGTATGCAGTCAAATTTTCAATAAAAAGGAAAAGGAGAAAAAATCATTTTCTAATGATCAAGGGTACAGAAAATCTCTCTCTAAGGCAGGAATTCTCAGGAAGTGATTACAGAATGTTTACCACCATTATAAAGGAGAGTCAATAAGACACAGACATCAGAAACCAGGTACTTATCCTGAGGTATTGTGAAAAAAATCTCTACCCAATAACTAAACCTCAGATCTAGAGAGAACCAGTCCACACTGCATCATATTCAGACAACAGCTTTATACCTTGTTCCATCCCCAAATTCACATTAGATCTCAGAGGCAAGAGACTAGCCTATTTGTAGCATTGAAAAAGTCCTAATCTTCGCCAGCTACCCCATGGCTATATAAAAATTTGAGGAGATCAGCAGCCGAGCTGTCACTGAGGAAACTATAATTCTTTTAATTTTCTTTATACGTGTGATTGTATCTCCTTTGTTATTTTGCATTCTATATATGTAAAAATTTTTACATTTTATTGGGTTATCTATTTTATTGTTATTTTAATGAAAGAATCCATTCCTTAAGCTCTTGGGTTGAGATTTATGAATTAACTATACTGTCTAAATTTATTTGTAGTCACACATGTAATAAAAGAAGATATCATTACAAAAGTCAATCAATCTCTCTCTCTCTCTCTCTCTCTCTCTCTCTCTCTCTCTCTCTCTCTCTGTGTGTGTGTGTGTGTGTGTGTGTGTTCAGACAAGGTCTTGCTATGTAGTCCAGACTGGCCTTGAACTCACTATATAGCCTCAAACTTGTAGTGATCCTCTTGCTTCAGCTTCCCAAGTGTTTGGATTACAGGAGTTCACCACTACATCTTGTTCAACCAATGTGGCTATAACTACAGTCTTTCTTGATTACCATTCCAAACTCTATGGGCCTATCAGACTTAAAAGCTTTTTATCAGTTTGACTTCTGTCCATTTTCCATTTTCTCACTCAATTTCTATCTTCCTCAGCAAATGAAAGGAATTAGTTGTGTCTCAGTTACAACAGCAGGATTTTAAGAGTGAAAAACCTTAAATAAATTATTAACATGGAGTTTAAATAGCACCCTCCTGAACAACCAGGAGGTCATAGATGAAATTAAAAATGAAATTATATAGTTTCTATAGTTGAATGGCAATGACAGTACAACATAACTGAACTTATAGAATACAATGAAACCAATCCTAAGAGGGAAATTTATAGCAATAAATACCCATATTGAAAAAAAGAGCAAGTGCATATAAACAACTTAATGGGGAAGCTCAAACTTCTAGAAAAAGCAGAGCAGGCTAAACCAAAAGCTCGTATAAAGATCAGAGAAGAAATTAATATTCTGGAGACTGAAAAAACAATACAAAGAATCAATGAATCAGAGCTAGTTCTTTGAAAGATTAAATAAAATCAACAAAATCTTATCCTACATTATCAAAAAAAGGAAAGAAAATACTCAAATCCATGCAATTAGGAATGAAAAGCATGAAATCACAATGGACCCTGCAGAAATTAGATCATCTATACCTACTTTGAAAACTTGTATTCTAGTAAGGTGGAAAATACAGAAGAAATGGACAAATTCCTAGATACATATGAACTACCAAAGCTGAATCAAGAAGATATAAAATCATAAATAACCCAATATCAATAAATGAAATCAAAGATGTAATTAAAAAATCTATCAATAAGGAAAAACCCAGGCCCTGACAGATTCACTGCTGAATTCTACAAAAATTTAGAGAAGACCTAACACCATTACTTCTCAAACTCTTTAATGAAATTTAAAGGGAAGCAATACACTTGAACTCATTCCTGGAAGCAAGTACTACCCTGATACCAAAACTGGAGTAGGGTTAGGGTTCGTCAGAAAAGGAATTAGAAGCCAATTCTTTAATGAACATAAATGCAAAAATCCTTAATAAGATACTGGCAAATTGAATGCAGCAAATCTTCAAGAAAATTTTATGCCATGATTAAGTGGCATTCATCCAACATATTTAAATCAATAAATGTAATAAACCATATTAACAGAGCCAAGGAAAAAAATCATATAATCATGTCCATAGATGCAGAAAAACTTTTGACAAAGTCCAGCAACAATTCATGATAAAAACCTTACAAAAAATTTGAATAGATGGTTTTTATCTCAATCTTATGAGAGCCATCTATAACAAATCAACAGTAGACATCATACTAAATAGATGAAAATTGAAAACTTTCTAAAATCAGGAATAAGACAAGGATGTCGACTGTCTCCACTCTTATTCAACAAAGTTCTGGAAACTTCATCCAGAGTAATTAGACAAGAGAAAGACATAAAAGGAATAAAGATAGTAAAGGAAAACATTATTGTTATTTGAAGATGACATGATACTCTACATTAGAAGTCCCCAAAAATTCCACCAAAAGACTTCTAGATCTAATAAATAAATTCAGTAGCATCGCTGGATACAAAGTCAACACTCAAAAATCAATAGCTCTCCTGTACACAAAAAAACAATCTCACTGAGAGACAAACCAGGGAAATAGCACCTTTCACAATAGCATCCAAAAAAATATAAAATACCTAGGAATCAATCTAATGAAGAATGAAAAACACCTCTACATTGAAAACTATATTACTCTGAAAAAGGAAATTGGGGAGGATATTAGAATTTGGAAAGACATTCCTTGCTCTTGGGTAGGAAGAACTAATATAGTGAAAATGACCATACTTCCAAAACTGTTATACAGAATTAATGCAATTCCAATCAAAATTCGAGTAGTGTATCTCACAAAAATTAGAGAAAACAGTCCTAAAATTCATTTGGAACAAGAAGAGACCTTGACTAACAAAGGCAATTCTGGGGAACAAAGACAAGGCAGGGAGTATCAGAATCCCTGACTTGAAATCATACTATAAAGCTAGTGTGATAAAAACACCATGTACCAGCAAAAGAAACAACAAAAAACGAGATCCAAAGTTCAACAGAATAGGTTAGAAGATGCAAAAATAACTCCAGACACACTAAGCCACCTTATCATTGACAACAGTGTCAAACATGTTTACTGGAAGAAAAATAGGCTCCTTAATAAATGGTGCAGGAAAAAACTGGCTCTACATAAGTCAAAGATTAAAATTGGACCCGTATCTTTCATGATGCACTAAACTAAATTCAGAATGGATCAAAAATCTAAATATTAAAACAGAAACATTAAGTTTTCTGGAAGATAGAATAGGTAAAGCTCTTGAAGACATTGGTGTAGGTAAAGACATTATGAACAAAACCCCGATTGCACAGGAGCTATCATGAAGAATCAATAACTGGGGTCTCACCCTATTGAAAAGCTTCCTTTTTGTATTTTTTAAAATTTTATTTTAAGGAGAATAAAACAAAATAAAGCAAACCAAAACAAAACAGAACAAGGTAGAGCAGTGTAAAACAATGCAAATAACACAAGATTTCACAAAAAGCAGGAAATCAGCATTTGCTACCATAATGTCTCATTTTCTTCAAAATAGTTGTCCATACCTTCACACACAATAAAATAAGTTAATACACATCAAAATAATATAAAATCAATCAAAACACAAGACTGAGAACATTAAGACCTTTCAAGACCAGACACTAGGAAATCAATAATGGCTACCACAGTGTCTCTTGCTTTCTTCAAAATAGCTGTCCGTATCCTCATAGTATTAGAATCAAATAATTGAAAACAGACTAAAACCAATCAGCACCAAGAATAAAAGCATTATTGGCT